ACTCGTCCACCACATCCTGGGTGATGTCCACTGATGGGTCCTTTCCCTGCACCTTAACAATGGGACAAACATACGAGTGACATTAGATGTGACTAGTAACAGAAATTATCACCAGCAACACCCAAACACAGTAGATATCAAATGCATGCACAGACTGAGCAGACAAACATACGCCCACACAAACAGAAGTGTAGTTACCTGGCATATTTTCTCCCAGATTTCATCACAACCAGCCTTCTCCTGGAAGCTGAGTGCCAGATCATAATTTTCAGCCTCTGACCATACTATCAATGTATCCTTTCCAAAAGAAGAAAATGCGCATTTACAATCAGTACACAGAAAAGGAAAATCCATATTCTACATGAGCATACTGAACCATACTATGTGCTGACCTGCTGTTTCTGGTAGGCTGTGTTTGGATTGATTTTGGACTCCAGTAGTAGGGAACCTGTCAAAAAATAAATAAATAAATATTGTCAAAATTATTTTTCTAATAAGTTACGATATGTGATATATTGAAATGAGGGTTAAAATGTGTCTGTGTGGAAGGTATTGCTTACGTATTTTAATTACTGAGCAAATGTTACTGTGGCTAATACGTTGCAGGTGATCTCTAAATTGGCATTTGCCATTCCTCTCTCCTTACCATCACTTTCGGCTCGCACCAGTAGAGACGTGCCTTTCAAACGCTCCACATAGCCCGACGAGACGTGCCCAGTCCCACGGTCATCCCACTGTCTGTCCTCATTGAGGGTATAGACTTTGACTCGTCGACGAGTGTCCGTCATCCTGGCAGGTAGCTGTAACCGGTTTCCCCCTCCGGACCTTCAAGGCTTTTACAAGGTGTCTGCCTCACCTAGTAACCCCACAATTCACTTTTGTACACCTGTTCACTTCTACAATGTAGCAACTTACTAACTTAAGTTAACTAGGGGTCAACCAGGCTAGCAGTCCTTTGAAGGACCTTAAGAGTAAAACCCGGACGAGTATCCAGGAAGATTCCTCGATCGATTCTGCAGCCACAACTAAAATATCTGATTATTTTAACAAGCTGCCTCAAAACTTATCTCGCCAGGGTTATAGGCAACGCGCCACACAAAATCAGCTTACAGCCCATTGTAGCAAGCTAACGACAGTGTAATATACAGAGCGGAGCACTGACGTTAGCTAATGTTAATCTACAACTCAAGGGCTGACAGACATATCAAAGTCATAGCACACAGCTGAGAGTATTCAGAATAAGCCCCGCCGTTACAACCTCTGGCCACCAAAACACTACCTGCTTATTATTAGTACAGTTTGTACGCTTGCGGGCAACGTTTACCAGTTACGTTAGCTAGCAAACCTAACGAGTTAACAAGCTAGCGAGTACGCTAACTGCCTACGCTCCACATATCCAATGTTAAACAACCCTTTGAAACAAAATGACCAGAGCGGTGCACCGACAACATTATTTCACACTTACGGACCGCAAACACCGTGTTTACCCTGGACCAATGCTTCTAATTGTGTCTGAATAATACGCCAGCTAGCTAATGTTAGCTGCTATTTCTTTCCCAAGTGTTCCGCCATGTTCTGGCTCGGGGCCGCGGAGAGACCAGTCTCTCCTTACTGGTATTCATGCATTCCCAAAAATTATGCAAAGCAACAAACTGTACTCGTATAATTTCATCAAGGTTACGCTTTACATTATAATGCTATTTGCCATTCATTCCCCGACGTCTTGTTCGGATAATTGCTAACTGCCCCCCCGTGAGTATTCAGCCATCTTGGGTCCCTTCAGTCAGTACGGGGTTTCCAGCACAGCAACAACAGGGCAGCCCGCCACATTTAAAGAGACAGTAACATGACCGGACAGAAAAATCGATTTTTAATGTTATTTACTCGAAATTTCTCATCGAGAGTCTCTACGATCATCCAACATTTAGTCCCTATACCTTTTATATATTACTTACCATCCACTCGCTCTGCATCATATTCCCCCGGTAGTCCAACCATTTGGATCCACAGAGTTGTAGATCCTTGTCCACTAGCATTTTCTATTCTGACACTGAATTAACAGGAAAATGTATTCTTCATTGAGACAAAGGTTATATATGGAAGAGTGGAGACCAGCCAGAAAACAACTGTTTAATTTGAATCAAAGAAAATTGCAACATGGATAGTTGAAATCAGATTCTACGCAAAATGTATACAAAAACACCATTTCACATCATGATGGTAGGATATAGTAATAATAGTAATAACGACGAAATGTGGAAAATAAATCTTCTGGGATCAGTTAAACGGGTCAGTCTGCAGACACTTCTCTCATAAAAAAAAAAACCCAAATCACCTGCATTCAAAATACATAACATGTTGAAATTTAACTGCCCAGTAAAGGTATATAGAAAAAAAAAACATCACATAACTTTTAAGGTAACTGAAAGCACACGGTTAAAAATCTGACAAACAAAAAAATGTTTTTATCTAGGCTGGGGAGCATTTCTCCGAGCAGGGATCCCTCTCCATCTTGCAGCCATTAGCCGCACTCTCATTATAGTGTAACAAATGACAAACATATGCATGCTGCAAAGCACGACTCCATTTCCCATTTTTCAAATCCCTTCATTTCCCAATGTACAGTAAAGTCCTTTGCAGTGTGTGTAGCAGGACAGCTCCTCACTGATGCCTTTACTTTGCTGCCTGCTGAGCCTGACGCCGCAGCAGGACATATATCTTCTCCTTGATCCAGTCTTTGTTGTATGGTTGGTATGTTTGAGTGTCAGCTCTGTACCTGTATACAAATTTAAGATATTTTTATTAGAAGTGATAAATACATTCAATGCAAGGTTGGTTTTCATTCAAAAATCGAGCTAAAACCATACTTACACAAGACAGCTTAGATCTGCCAAGTCGTCAATAAAGTCAAACAACTGACTAATGTCATAAGTGATGGAGGGACTGTTTGGATTCATCCTCTTAAGATGCTCTTCATACATTTTGCAAACACCTGGAAGAGAGGTAGGACATGCTGAATGGAGGCAAACCCATTTCTAAAAGTGTGCATCAAAAGAAAATAGCTTAAATGGTACAGATACCAATGAACTTAATTTAGTGTTTATAGTCGCTTTCTCAACAATGTAACAAGGTTCATTAGATACTGTAAAGTCAATGACACTACATATTTTACTAAAAAGGGAGACGGACAGGAGAAATAAGAGTGGATTAATAAAAGGATTGAAATTAAAAAACTGAATTGATATATCTGAATGATCAACTACTTGTTTTAAGCACTTTGGGCATGTGATAAAAATACATTTATTAATGTCAATGATGGCTCCAGTGGCTCTGTAGTTCAACAGACTAGCTTGCAGTTGACATATTATAAGTTCAACTCTAGTTTGTTGTGCATGTTGTCTGTTCCTACCCGTCACACTTACCATTAAATAACCAAGAAATTAAAAAATAATAAGTAATAAGTAATAGTAATATATTTATAGCCATATCGCAAAGATCCTAAACTGTAAATAGTATTAAACACTTCTTATCTGAGAGAGACATAAGATATTTAATGCTCTTACCCTCCAAATAATGACAGGAATCCATTAATATGCTTATAACTAACGTTATATAAATATTCCAGTGGCTTCACTGAGGAATATTGTTGAAATAAAATTGTAATAGTGCTAACAACAAAATACAGTTTTAGGCTACGTTTAATACACCAAAGGTAAAGACAAAAAAGTACCGTGATTTATTAGGTGAAAAATAATGTGAAACAGCTGAAGACTCACCTTCCATGCATTCATTCACTGACTCATAGTCAGCATATGTGCGGCCCTCAGGTCTCTTGGTTGGTTGGACAAGCAAAATTGTGTGCGACTGTAAAAATTATTAATAATATTTAATAAACACAACTACGCCAGCTCTTTATATCACACTACATCACCTGAATTACTGACACACAGCTTTTTTGTTTGAACCTGGTTTAAACCTTCTCCCAGAGGTTTTCAAACAGTGGGCAAAAGCTTGTTAACGTTATATAGCTAACTGTAAGGTTAACATAATAGCTAATCTTACACAACATATCTCACATACTTTATCTATATTTAAACTAGCAAACAGGGATTAGTTCCTTAAGCATTACCATTAAACTTAGTGTTCATACCAAAGAAGAATTGGACAAAAAATGTTTGACAGAGTAACGTTAAGTTAGTAAACGGTAGCCTCGTATTAGCTGTTAGCTTAACTATGTTGACTTAACAGAAGCTAATATAGCTAATACTGCGAATTTTACCTCTTAAAATGTTAAACTTAACACTCTTACCATGTTTGTGCTGACCGCAGATCTATTCTATATATGTAACAAAAATCGTTGTTTATTGCTTCTAAACGGCCCGTGCGATGTAACGTTAGCTGTCTAAGGGAAAATATTCAGAGAGGAAATAAAATAATTCTTTTTCCGGCTGTACAATGAAATGCCTTCAAAATAAAGTTTTTGTTTCAAAATAAATGTTTCAAAATACAAGACCAGTCTGTGGTGAAAAAAAGTATTTGTATCCTTAGCAAAAAGTAGATCCCGTAAAATACTACATTAGACTCTCACTTACGTATAAGCTTAATAATTAGCCAGTAAGTATCAAAAGGAAAGTACTTCTTATGCAATGTAGCTCCTATCAGTGTTATAATCGCAATGTCTTTTTGTACTGGATTATTATTATTACTGAGGCATTAAAGTGTAGCTAGTAATTTAATGTTGTAGCTGGTTGATGCTGTTGTGTGTTTAATCTATAACAATTTCTCATATTCATAAAATTATCATATGTTTTGTGTGCAATATTTGCCTCTGAAATGTAATGGAGTAGAAATATAAAGTAGTAAAGTGTAAAATAACAGAAAATGAGATTCCTCAAGTACAGTACCTGAGCAAATGTAGTAAGTTAGCCTACATCACACCAATGTATTTTGTTTTGTAAAAAACTATCAATAATTTAATAAAAGGACAACACCAATACCAGTTTTTGTTCAAGGTTACCAGATAGCTGAACATTTATTGATTAGGTTTATGATTTAACTTGGGTAATCACATTGACATTACTTCAATTTATTCCTGATCTATAAGGGAAAAATACACAAATGAATATACTGAGCATCACAAACAAAAAGCCAAAGATCAAATGGATAATAAAATCAGAACCATGAGCTGGGATTATGTCAGTTATAATGTGAGGCTATCTAGATCAATTTTAATGTCTTGTCTAAAGTCTTGTGTTTAAAAGAAAGCCGGGATGTGTTGAGTTTTACAATACATGTTTGTGTATGTCTTCATATATGTAAATACTATGTTTGCACAAATATCACGATTAGCTTCACAGAGACAACACTCCGGTTAGCCCATGATTTGGAGGTGTTGCTGGTGAGCACTGTTACGCCCTTGCCCTCAGAAGACCTCTGGGTAATTCTCTCCTTGGGGTAACTCTGCGAGGAGCAGGTGGGGGCTCCCTCACCACAGCCCCGCACTCTCTCTGGCATGCTTCCATGGACACAAAGTTATTGGCATTGCCCTGGCAGCTTCCATACCAGAACCCGGTACATTTGCCAGTGCCTGAGTCATAGTAGAAACGGACCTTCCAAGTATCACAGGGGCCCTCATCACGAGGCAGGGAGCACACATTACCAGTGGATGGAGGGGCAGGAGGTGCTGTGTGCTGCTCAGGGAGAATGACAGAAAGAGTGAAATGGAAGAGAGAAGAGAGAAATCTTTCTAAATAGCCTTCTAGATAGCCCTTTAAATAAATCTGCATCATTCAACTATATTTAATGGGTTTATTGAAACAAGATGAGAAACAGATGTAATTCCTACCACAGTTGCCTGGTACTCAGGACATCCAACCCTTCCAAATCCTTGAGCTGGAGTCACCCCATCCAAACAGCAGCCGTATCTAAGGAATGTTGGAAACACTTTATATTGAGCCAGTATGCCATTTATCAGTGTCATATATTTGTTACAAGAATTGGATCCAGGAAGCTGTGGTACCTGGTGCGGACACAGTCATCTTGGGAGCAGCCTTCATTCCTGTGCCCTGTGGCAGAGGTATGGCCATCAGGACAGCAGCCATAGAATGACTGAGCACATTGAGGACCAGTCACAGCAGGGTAGGGATCATACCTAATGTCTGAATATGGCCTGGAAGCTAAAGCAAGTAAACATAGACATGGTCAAACAAGGATGCTGCTACTGTACATACCATTGACCTGTGAACAAATGTGTTTAACCTTTTACAGAAGGTTTAAACTTGGTAGTGGTTAACCTTGGCTGGATTTTTGGAATCTAAATATGAATTTCAGTAGTAAGGTATTAAAAGAAACACTTTTCTTTGTGGGCTTTGTGTTTGTGAATGAGGGACAAGAAAGTGAAGCGCAATCATGGTCTAGACAGCAGCAATTACAACACAAGGGCACATTTTATTCACTGCCCGGGGATGCATTCATTCAACAATAGTCTTGGTACTACCTGAGCTCAAATAACTGGCTACGCACTCATTTTTAAAATTCTTTGTACATCTTCTTTACTACAGCTTTGGTTACGCATATAAAATAAATGCATCACATAAAGAAAGAGAATTTCAACAAAACACCCTTACACACCTGAGGTGTCTTCTGAAACATGGGGCACAAATCCTCTCACGGTATGTGCCCTTGGGTCCTGAGCACTTGGGACCACTGAAGAGAAAGTAGATTGATTAAATACAAACAAGCACACACAATGAAACCAAAAGAGTGTGTTAACAGTTCAGACTTGGCTTACTTTGTGCTCCGGGGCATGGCTGTGAGTTGCATGCCTCTACAGAGACGGGTCTGCTAGCTGTTCCACATCGGGCCTCTGGGTAGGGGTTCAAATCTGTATCAAAACAGCCCACTCTCCTCTCCCTCACACCACCATCGCAGCTTCTAGTACACTGCAGAGACCAGACAGGGAGATGTTAAATAATGTGGAAATAAAGAGAGATACGTATTTTTCTGTGTGTTGCTTTGTTTCACCTACCAGTCCATACTCAGTAACATGCCATGTGACATGTGTGTGACAGGCAGGTCTGCGGCAGGTCTGGACAGAAGGAGGTTTTGTCAGTCCACTACAGGCGTGGTCAGCCAGATGGTTACCTCCAAGCCCCACACAGATCACCTCCCTTGTCTGCTGGCCTTCCCCACAAGTCACAGAGCACTGACCGAGATATTAAAATTTTGTCAATCTTACAGCAACTTTTAAAAAAATTAAATATTATTTCCAAATTAATTTTGCATAACGATCATAGATAAATGAGACGATATTCAAGACAAATGAAAGCCTCTATATCACACCAGTGGTTGTTGTTAATGTTAAATTTAAGTCCTCTGCTGTAAGGTACAAACCACACTGAAGCTGGAGACACTGTACTCAGCAGCACAGGGATGCATATTGCAGGCCTGCTGGCTCTGTGGCCTCTGCAGGCGCTGGGTAATGCAATAAGACTCGTCCACCACATGGGGGTTGGCTGGATCCTGAGCCCAACATGCCACGCTGCGATACTGCATGCCTCCATCGCAGGTGGCAGAGCACTCGCCATAAACACCGGTTTTGTAGATGTACGTGAGTGTCTCCGTTGGGTGAGGTGCAACAGCAACAGGAGCAGCAGAGTGTACAGAATTAGTGTCCCCATCCAAGCCCATAAACTCTCCGTAGATCAGTATCTGGAGAGAGACATAAAATCACTTATATATCAAATCAACAACTAGTGTGAAAGTGCCTTAGAGCAAGGCCTTTGAACTACTCAATGTGACTTTACTTGTGTATTTGTGAATGTAGATTGCTGTGTGAGAAAGAGCTGTACTGACAATTGAGCCAATTTTCCTTTACGTAAGTTAAAGCTAATAATTAAGAAAAACATAGATATTCCACAGATACTGTACAGTACAACATAGTGCTCTGAAAGTGTGTCAATATTTTGTTGTTTCCCCACCCTGCAGACGCCGTCCACACAGATATCAGTGCGGCCCACATAACATGGTGTCCCATCCACCACTGCGGGTCTGTGTCGGTAGAAGAAGTTCTGTCCTCTCGGGACACAGTTCAGCTCACATGGATTGGATGCTACAAAAAGAGATACAGCCATAAAAATTCTGTGATAAAATTTATACAAACCCCAACAATCACAGACCTAGCTCCAATAGTGTCTGCACCAATTTTTATATGGTGAACCAGAGTTACTGTAATACAGAGATAGTCGGAAAATTAAGACAATCACAGTGACACAACTTACAGTGATGTCACTCACTATTTATGTCTATTATGTTAATTTCATGTATATATAATTTCCACCTTAGTAAGCATCTACACCTCTGTTAATCAAAGGGGGTTAAATAAAACACCAAGATTTGAAAGTATTAATTCACCTAGACTCAACACGGTATATTAGGTCTTATACCTCCATAATAAGGAACCCATGTGTGCTGTTTGCTCTGAAAGTCCGTTCTGTCAAATTGGGAGCACTGGACCTCCCTGAAGTCCCTAGATCCAACTGGACATTCCTGCAATGACACAAAATTGTGGATTATTGGCATATTTTAAGATTGGGGTGGTGATGGAACAGTGGATAAGACATGCCTTTGGTGTGAGAGACCCAGGTTCGAATCCACTGTGAGACACCAATGTGTCCCTGAGCAAGACACTTAACCGCTAGTTGCTCCAGAGGCATGCGTCCTCTGACATATGTAGGAATTGTAAGTCGCTTTGGATAAAAGCATCAGCTAAATGTAAATGTAATATTAGTGCCGGTTGTGGTTGGATGTAATAAAATGAGGAAAAAAACAGTTTAAGGATAATTACATGTGTATTACAGGTTCGGTAGGATTTAGAAGATCCTATGCAGTTATGTCCTCCATCTGTCCTGTAAGCGAGAGTAAAGAATTTGCATGTAAGCCACATATCTCTTTGTCATGTTAAATGCATTTGGCTTTCTTGGTTATGACAACATTTAAATACAGATAATGTGCATAACTTTATAAGATGACCCTTTACTAAGAATAAAGTAGTAACTAAAAATAAAAATCAATGCAAGATAAAGGATAGATGACTTAAAAACATAATAATTATTGTTGTATTTTTATTCTAATCAAATACTAGGGAACGTTATCACAAAGTCTGTAATAGATGAGCCTATTATCTCATCCTAACACACAACTTTGTCCCACCTTGACGTGATACATTTCCTGGTTCTCATTGCCACTCCTGTGCCACAGGTGCGACTGCAGGGCCCATAGGCTCCAAACTCTCCCCAGTAGTCATGGGTCGGCTGTGTCAGCTGGAAAAAACAATTTAAGGTACAACTCTTACTCCCTCATCCTCTGGATCACATAGTCATCTCACACACCATATCGTAGCCCACCACAAACCACTAACACATACTAAGAGCATGCTGGAGACTCCAAAAATAGACGCTGGAACATTTAGCCGCAAACCGTCCCATACACATTGCATAACGTGTATAAACCCGCTCTGTGACATATAAACAGCATCAGTGACTGCAGATATGTCAGAAAGCAAACATTTTGTTTTTAATGTTGAGATTTTGGACATACTGTACTTAGCATTCTTTGCAATTTCCATCTGTTCTAAAATACATATCACTGACATGGACATTTAAATGGTACAATATTATTAATATTTTTGCTAAAGTAAGACTCACAGTGAAAGCAGTCACAGTCAACAGCTGTAGGAGACCCAGGACTTGCAGGATATTCATGTTCACCAGAAGCTACTGCAGAAGCACTGATGAGGATAGCAACCAAATAACTAAACTTTCTATGCAAGTACATCTATTTAATATGGATGATGTGTGTGCAATTAGTCCATAAATACATGTATGTGTATCAGATTATACCTACATTTAATTGATTTCCTTAATGATTTCTTTACTCGTGTTTAATATATGTGTTGAAAGTGTTTCACTTTGATAGATTCAACAGCTGCTAATAAATATCATCACATGCTATTTTGTCTTACCTTCTTGAAGAGACTTCCCAGCTGGTCGACCAGCAGTCCAGAGGGATGTGCACCTCAGTAGAGAAGGTAGGCACTGACACCCAGCTTTCTATCTTCTCACCCTCTCTGCTCACCAACACCACAACCCATAAAGTGTCAGGTTTCAACTGCACAGAAAAAAACATTTTGACTTCTTTTCTTGATGTTGAAAATAAGCTGTGATTTTTTTCTATTTAGAAAAGGATGTTTGCAGTTAGGACCCTCAGACTATGAGACTACTTACGTTGTAGTTTTATAACAAGCCTTTTCATTAGCAGCCATGTGTTTCAGTGAAAGAAATGATCAAAAACAAAAATGTGCTTTTGTGCAACAATCGAGTACAATCATTGTTCCAATACAGAAGAAGACAAAGAGAATATTTTGGAACACATAATTTAATGGTTAGATACATAACATGTTAAAATGTTAAAGCAATACAATCCATTAAGCCTTAATACATAAGAAACCCACTAAAATTACACTGAAGGTGAAAGAGATTATGTGTTTTTTTTAAGGTTGCAGGCCACTGAATGTCCCTTTCACACATCCCATAACCACTAAATACAGACCACTAAGTCACAGAAGAGGAGCTGGTGGGAGGTAAACATCGCCCTAAGGTTCTATTTAGGTTTATTTTAGTGAGAAACCACAATGGAGTATGGCCTGGACGGGAGAGAATATGGAAGATGTACCAACAGTCATCAATGATGAGCAACATTCCTCTGCCAGAAAGATGAAGCTGGTGGAGACAGCCAGGCTGACAAGAGTAACATATACTTTAATCTTAAATGCTAACACAGAATACCTTGGTGATGGAAATAATAGCTATTATGTGTGTGTGTGTGTGTGTGTGTGTGTGTGTGTGTGTGTGTGTGTGTGTGTGTGTGTGTTTGTTAGTGGGTGGGCCGGGGAGAAATTTGATGACAGCAAAAGTGATCATAAATCATTTGTTGACACGCAGTGCCTGTGTCAAAGACAGTATGAAAGCAATGCAACAAACTGTACCCTTGTTAAGTTCACGATGTTCAAGCTTTATTAAAACTATGACAGAGAGTTGTTGATTCAAATTTGCAGTTATTTTTGAGGCTGTAATGTGTGATGTTGCTGTAATGCATTATATTGTATTTACTGGAATCACGCATGCTCCTTTTCAGTGAGTGTGGTTGTCACATATGGACCTAAAAAGTACAATTTGCACAACAAAAAGTTTATATAATGCCATTCTAATTAAAGCACTGTTTCAAAGCTGTGAAAACCTCAGCATGCCATCCCAATTCCAAACCCATCCCGTCCAAATTAAACACATATCCAAAACCAAAGCCACCCCCCCCAAAAAAAAGTTTTGGTTTTCTGCTCAATGAGAAACAAAGTCTGTCAGATACTTTCTGTCCCTCAGAGCTGCCGGTTTAGTTTCTGTGCTTGCTTCTCTTTGGTTTCAAAGGCACTCTTGGTGCTGAACAGGTCATCCACTGTATCCATAATCTCCTGCATTTCTTTGGAAAGATCCATGTAACTCTCCTTTAGCTCATCTTGTTGCTGCCTCAGCTCCACCGCCGCCTGCATCAGCTCAGTGGCCTGGTGGCTGCAGTGGCTCCGCAGCTGCTCCACGTCTGACAAAAGCACCTCCATGCTCTTCATCAGCTGCTCCAGCCGTCCGGCAGTTAACTCAAACCCGGACATGTCCAGAGTTCCGACCTGGGTGCTGCCCGAAGTCTGAGCCTCAGATTCCGGGTCTGGCTTTGAGTCTGACTGCATCCTCCTGCTGTAACAGCTCTCTGATCCTCAAGACAGACTTCAGCAAAACAGATATCTGGAAGAAAAGGAAATCATTTAGCTGGTAGCCAATGACTGTAAAAGGTCAACGGGTGGAAAGGATTCAAATATTGAGAGAGAAGGCTGAGAAATGTCAAAGGTGGAGAGCCACTCCAACACCTTTCGTCTCTCTCAGCTGGTAAGTTGGAGTTTAAGCTCCTGGCAGGAGGGGAAAAATTCACTTCTGACTAATCTCCCCTGCTTGTGCACCTGCATGTACAGTGTGTGTGTGTGTGTGTGTGTGTGTGTGTGTGTGTGTGTGTGTGTGTGAAGGTTCATGTGTATGTGTATGCAGGTGTCCTTTCACTGACATGTGCTGTCCTGTAATCCATTTAGGGCAGCTATATCTGAGCAACACCCTCCCCAGTCCAGACCATTGCTGGCTCTGGTGAGCGGCAGGCGGGACATAAGATTATGTGGTTCTTTCTTCCTCCCAGCCACGGCTGTATGAGCCAGACAGATTAACCCCATCCTCGTGAACTTATCTGTGGGTGGCCTTGACACTCACACGTACCCGTCATTCGCATAATACAATCTCTTTTCTGTCTCCCTTTCCCTCAGGTATTGATCTAATAATGCAGTTCTCACTGTGTGCTTGGGCCAAACTCTGGTGAACGTATTGAGTAATTACAGTAACAGTTTTAACAGTCACTTGAGATCTATCATTATTCACTATATCACAAACCTAGATGCAGACTAATCAACCAAATCATAGTCCTATTATTCCTACTATTCACAATCATGCTGCATACACTGTGTAACGTTCAATCTTCTATCAATAGCTTACAGTAGTTTGAAGGTAAATGAAATGGGCCACTAAATCAAACCTTTAGTGCTAACAGTGGTTCTAAACAAATATTTACCCTGGATTCTCAATGCAGAATTAGCTTTTAAAGGACCTTGTGAGATGATGCCAGCTGATAGCTCATTTGGTAAAGGAAGAAAAATATATAAAATGCCTCCCATATCATCTAGCAAAATATGGGACATTGAGCATTATTATTTCAACACAGAAATATGTTCAACTGTGAAACAAAAAAGGAAAATGTTATACTGTTATAGTTTAGCCAATTTAGAGGTTTGGAAAATGTGAAATGTGTTAGTTTAGATTTTAGTAATAAAAAAGTACAGTTAAATTTGTACAAGTTAGTTAAAGTTTGTAAGTTCACAAGCACAGTTAGATCTATTTTTACATTTAAAGTTTTTGGATAAGTGTTTTACACTTACACAATTGTACTCTTATTATATACTTAGAAGTTGTATGTTAAATGTTATCCTGGTGCCTCTGCCTAAATGTTGCTATAAATAACTGATGTTTGTTTAATTACTTTTTGTTTAAGATAGAAGTCATGTCAAGTAATTTAATACAAACAGTAATAATTGGCATATTCTCTAATATATTGCACAGCAGGATATTCTAACACTTTTCTTGAAATTCAATTGTATTTTATTTATATAGTGCAAATTAATAAATTGTTATAAATCTCTCTTTTCATATGGAGCAGGTCTAGATCGTACTCTTTGTAATATTATTAACAGAGACCCAACAATTCCTACCATGAGCAAGCACTTGGCTACACAGGCAAGGAAAAGCTTCCTTTTAGGGGGTAGAAACCTTGAACAGAACCGTGACTCAGTGTGGGTGGCCACCTGCCTCTTCAGTCACCTCATAGAATAAAACAGTAAAATGAGAAAATACACTGCAGCGATGACGTGTTTAAAAGCATGTTAAAGAGCAGGCAGAGGCCTTTAAATGGCTGTGAAGATAAGGAGTCAAATTGGTGACCTCACCACCTTCAATCTCTTATCAAAACAAAACAACTTGCTGCAGGGAGGCCAGCGTCAAGGGAAGACTATGCTCTTTCTGAGGGGTAAATGCAGTGGTGTAAACATTAGCTGTATCAGAAAAGAATTAAGGAATTTATTCATCTGGGATTGAGGGGTCAAAAACCATAAAACCAGCCAGAAGAACAGATCAATAAATTAGTTGCAACAATTACATTATTTTATAATTATGAACAAACATGTAGACCTAAGCACACATTAAGCTAAGTGTTAAAAAGACAATGCAAGAACACGAATATAGTTGTTTTTTGTATGTAAAGACACAAGCAGAGGAGCTTGTATTTGTTTTGTACAACAGGGTTAAACATAAGCTTCAATAATAAAACATACAGCAAAGACTCTCCGATCTGTTGGATATCCACGTAAAAGCTTTAGCACTAAAAAATTGATATAAAAAACAATAAGCAAGAATGTTGGAAGGAAGCAAAAAGGTAGTTCCTACCCAAAGCATAAAGAGACATTAGTTATTAGTAGCAATACACACAATCAACACTAAAGAGAAAGTTAAAGGGAGAACTCCAAATATTTGTATTTAGTAATGTTGTAGTAGACATAGTATTGAATGAAAAATTGATTTCACATTATAACGATTGACTATGAGCAAAAAATGAGAAAATGAACTCTTACTTGTTTCTGTGGTTATTCACTGAGGGCATCCAGAATGTTTCAACATGCAGGCTGAAGATAAACTAGATTGCATGTGAAGCATGGATCCTGCCCAGGGTATAGTGGGCTCTGCCCACCTCATAGAAACTCTATTTCCTGACTATGATGATGGTCATGGTGGTGCTATTTTAGACTGAACACTAAATGCTTATCAGCAATTCACACTTGTGTTCACAGTTGTGTGAGTGGTGCGACGTCTGTATAATTCCTACATTCGAAAATCTTTCTTTCTATAACGAAACTAAACTCAATTAAACATTGACACAACTGTGGGAACAAACAGAAATTTATTGAATTGGACATTAAACACACTTTTGCAAAGGTGTAGAGTTTTTGGAATTTACTTCTCAGAAATCAAAAACAGTCTTGTAATGCATAAAGATAAAGAATGCAAGAAACAGTTGACAAGTTAGGGAGACGAAAGACCAGGCTATCACCTGTGCAAGACCAAGTCTATCCTGTTTGGTTCAAAGCCTAGGTTAAATAAAGAAACAGTCTTGGATATTGAGATTGATGGGAAATCTATCACATCAAAGTCCTCTGTCAGCTACCTCAATTACATACTTGATGAGAACTAAGGGGGAGTTTCCTTGAGTGACCTTGAACGTTTTTGGCAAGGTAAATGCCAAACTAGATTCCTAGCCAGAGGGCTAGACTACTGGACAGGAAGTCCCTAAAACTATATATACAGTGAGGAAAATAAGTATTTGAACACCCTGCTATTTTACAAGTTCTCCCACTTAGAAATCATGGAGGGGTCTGACATTGTCATTGTAGGAGCATGTCCACTGTGAGAGACATAATCAAATGTCAAAACAAAAAATCCAGAAATCACAATGTATGATTTTTTAACTATTTATTTGTATGATACAGCTGCAAATAAGTATTTGAACACCTGAGAAAATCAATGTTAATATTTGGTACAGTAGCCTTTGTTTGGTCAAACGTTTCCTGTAGTTTTTCACCAGGTTTGCACACACTGCAGGAGGGATTTTGGCCCACTCCTCCACACAGATCTTCTCTAGATCAGTCAGGTTTCTGGGCTGTCGCTGAGAAACACGGCGTTTGAGCTCCCTCCAAAGATTCTCTATTGGGTTTAGGTCTGGAGACTGGCTAGGCCACGCCAGAACCTTGATATGCTTCTTACAGAGCCACTCCTTGGTTATCCTGGCTGTGTGCTTCGGGTCATTGTCATGTTGGAAGACCCAGCCTCGACCCATCTTCAATGCTCTAACTGAGGGAAGGAGGTTGTTCCCCAAAACCTCGCAATACATGGCCCCGGTCATCCTCTCCTTAATACAGTGCAGTCTCCCTGTCCCATGTGCAGAAAAACACCCCCAAAGCATGATGCTACCACCCCCATGCTTCACAGTAGGGATGCTGTTCTTGGGATGGTACTCATCATTCTTCTTCCTCCAAACACGGTTAGTGGAATTATGACCAAAAAGTTCTATTTTGGTCTCATCTGACCACATGACTTTCTCCCATGACTCCTCTGGATCATCCAAATGGTCATTGGCAAACTTAAGACGGGCCTTGACATGTGCTGGTTTAAGCAGGGGAACCTTCCGTGCCATGCGTGATTTCAAACCATGACGTCTTAGTGTATTACCAACAGTAACCTTGGAAACGGTGGTCCCAGCTCTTTTCAGGTCATTGACCAGCTCCTCCCGTGTAGTAAATATTTCAATAAAAGAATAATCTTCACCAAAATAATTACATATACAGTGAGGAAAATAAGTATTGTAAGTGAAATTGTTGGTCTTTGATATGCCCTGGACGCTGAATGGCTGACTTCATCTTGAAGCGGTTTATTAAAGCAAGGTGGACATTATGTAAATATTTATATGAAATAAATGTGTGGATTAAGTCAAATTTCACACACATGTAACAATATACTAGTATTGTATAGACTTCCACATATAACTGTTCCCAGCAACATGTTCTGTTAAGATGAACACGAGGTGGCTGATTATGACAATGAAAACTTGACTACACATTGTTGTTGCTTCTAAATTTAAGCAAATAATTAATAGATACACAGGTATTTAGTTATATTAAAGCCAGATTACTAAAGGTTAGAGATTGTTTTCATGTTTTAACTTCAGTTTGAAGATTTCTATGACCCCCAGTGGGTCAAAATGACACTGATAAACATTTTTGCACCACTGTTCTGGTACTGATTTTAACCAAGTGTGAAGAAGAAAATAAGTTGTATTTGTTCAAACTCTCCACATGGGGGCAGTGCTGTTATTCAGATTTACTCATTTGTGTCCCTGTGGAGGATGTTTGAGCTTTTGTATTCCTACTTATGTCTGCCTCCACTCTTGGGTGTATGTGTTTTATTTCATCCTCTGTGTGAATGTGAGTATATATCAAGCGTATGTGTTTGCTTTGGCTAAGAGTTGCAGGTGGGTGCTTATAAATTCTACAGCAAGTGAGACATTTCAGTCAACCCCACATGTGTAACCATTTAAATGCCAATATGTGTATTTGTGTGTGTTTCTATGTATGTGAGTGCTGCGTGGGGGTTCAGGGGTATGGATTATTTTGCCCTGGGTCATATTCAGGGAAGCCAGCCAAGAGTGAGGCGCAGAGGAGAAAGGGGGCATTGTTGTGGTCCAGATGAGTGTCATAGGTGCCGCAGAAAACAGATTCACTGATGGGGTTTTAACAGAAACACACTTGCAGCAACTGCCTGACCCCTCAGACCATGCTTGAATGCCTTTAACAATAATGAAGGGATTCAAGTATCAATTCTCATGGTCTGTATGTGGCTGATGTTGGCTGTAATTGACTGGTGTTACAGTGAAGTTTTGGAGGAGAACTGACAGAAAAATGTATAAAAAAGTGTTTTTAGTCTGGTCTGAAATAAAACTACATGACTAAAAGGGAATATTCCTGGAAGCTCTTTTTGTTGATTTGAAGCAGCAGGGGGTTAAGGTTTGTCAAATCAAGGTAGTATCAGGTCAGTCATCAGTTCAGTTTTCTAAACCATAGCAGTTTCTGGTACTTATTCCATCCTACATTGTGGGAAAACCCATCCGTCTGGTATTGGTAAAAACAATCCTTGGAATTACTTGGAAATAACTTTTGCCTCCGCTTCCCTGTATCTGTCTGTGTCCTTATCTCTGTCTTTCTTTGTCTCAAGCACACAATCTTCACCTAGACATCTGGGTTGTCTCTGCAGAACACTTTCAGACAACCCACCATCATCTTTGGTTGAAGCCGAAGAAAAAGTGCATGGCAGTGTTTCCCCTCTATGATTTACTCACAAGTAAATGAGAGCATAAAAAGGATCTCTGTCACTGAAAGAATGGGAGAGTTATGGGCCAGTGGGTCACATGCTGCTTCGGCCCCCGGGACCCTTGGGGGACCGGGGGCTTGCCACGATGTCTTTACCCTCAGAACTGTTACACTATTTATGGACTCTCCTGGGTGTGCATGGGCCTGTGATTTATGGCTCTCCATCTGGTGCTGTGGGGGCATTATTGTCGATACTTATTTAGAGATGCAATCTCAATGCTGGGATGGTCATGGGTGGAATCATGGGGATTGGCATGTGGTTAGAAGGAGGTAAGTAATATAGTATGTGAGTGGTTTGACTGGGAATTTAGTAATAAAGTGTGCACTTATGGATGTGAAGTGGTTAAAGCTGTTAAAGGTAAAGGCTGAAGACACAGGAATGCTTGAAAAGATATATAGGAAACCCATACAGAATTGGACCCTGAAGACATGAAGCCCTTTGACACAAAACTGTGATTTGTGGGCTGTATAAATAAAACTCACATGAATTGAAGGACAAGACTATCAAGTAGGGTAGAAAATATTTCCATCTCAGGCAATCTTACAAGGGGAGAGAGGTGAAGATTATTGCCTTTGATAAAAACAAATCAAAGTGCTGAACGGGGTCACTCATAGAGCCCACAGATAATTCTTACCAAACTCTTTTAGCTCATTGTTTTGATTTTACTGTTTTGTCACTCTCATCTCTCCCATCAGCGTTGTTTTAGGCTGTGAAGCTCTGATGAACCCACGATATTAAATTAAGTGCAATTCATTTCAATCCAAAATACTTTATTTGCCTCTTGAGTGACAGTTTAAGGTCACCTGGCTAAGCCTTTACACACTGTCTTGTGTCTTGGATCAAGGACCAAGTGTTGCTTGTATTCTCTATATATCTATAAAATGATGTAGGCAATGTGGAGCAATGTTAGAATTGTTTTGTAGATGAAAGCGATGGAACAAGCTGTCCTTCAGAAGGGGGACATTTTTACCTTGGAGATTTGAGAGGTATTTCAATTCAAACTGTCATTTACAGATTTTTTCAAATGTCACTCCTTCTGAATAGGAGTGACAGATAAATCAGAAAAAAAGAAAAGGTTAATGCCTTTT